AAATGATAGATGCTGAAAGTGCAGCTTTTCAAATGGACAGGGAACACTTTCTTTTCATAAATTAAAAACCAAGATGAGGTATACGGACTTTGATTTCCCAAGGAGGGAAAGACACAGGGTAGTTCAGGCATCACTCACAGTGCCCTTTGCTGCCAATGCCTACTTTAATGACTGTGACATTTTATGATTTGATTCAACGAAGGCAGAGATGCCCAATTAGCTGTCAGATATCAGTTAGTTTCAGCCCAGTGATGTGCTGTGAGATCCAGGGAAAAAACATTTTTGTTCATACATTAAACTGCTCTTTTGACAGCATTGGCTTGTATTTGCCAGTATACAAGCCCCTGTCACCTTGTCCATGGAAAGAGGTCAAGCCCGACATTCTTTGTGGGAGCATCTTTTACTCAAGGAAGCTTTGCCCAAGTTTGGGATCTTTTCTTCTATTGGCTTTCAGCTGACAAATTGCTGGCATATGACTGAAAAACATATTGTCACTCCTAGACATACAATGGAGTCATTAACATTCTTACATTTAACTTATATGAATTCAACTGCTCAGCCAATAAAAGGAGATGAGGGGAGGAATAATAATGTAAATAAATAATTCAGGCTCAAGGCAGGGATGAGAGGAGGAGGGCAGAGGGGAACACCAGGAGAGAAGGGCAGCAGCTGGGTATTAGACAAAGGGAACAGCTGTACTGTAGGTAGTACTAAGTCCTACTTTTTACCCTCAGCCCAATAGATCCAGAATGGATTTTATATAGAAGATATGGATCCAGCTTACTGACTTTTTTTTTCTATATTGTCCCAACAATTTAGATGCTATTCACTTTGAAGACCTGTGGAGAGAGGGTAATTTTGATTAAATATGATTTTTACTTTCCAGGCTGACTTTATAGTCTGAACCTCATATAAATTATGATATCACTTGTGTGTCTTAAGATTCTATATAGCTAGCAGAACTGGAGTATTTGGGGAACCCTTGGAGCAATCCTAAATTTAGCTGGTTTATAATCTTTGTTAATTTGTGAGGTCATGCTGCCTCACCTCTGACCTGGGGCATTGAATTCAATTAACTTCAATAAACATTTATCACCTGTTATGTACACTTTAAAGAGATTAATTCAGACTATTCACTGGAAGGCTGAAGCTGAAACTTGAATACTTTGGTCATATAATGAGAAGACAGAACTCTTTGGAAAAGACCCTGATGTTGGGAAATATTGAAGGCAAAAGGAAAAGGGGATGGCACAGGAGGAGATGGATAGATAGTGTCATAGAAGCAATGCACATGAGATAGGACAGACTTCAAGAGACAGTAGAGGATCGAAGGGCCTGGCATGCTGTGGTCCATGAGGTCACAAAGAGTTGGACATGAGCAGATATATGAATTATATGTCTCAGCACAGTCATATATCTTCCCACATAGAGAAGATAAGGAGGCTCCCATGACAGTCACTTGTACAAACCAGGAGATGAAATGATGAGTTCATGGGTTCAGCTTTGTTGGAACACTGAGCAAAAGAAGAGGGGAGAGTGGTAGAGAGTTAATAGGAAAAGTAGATTTCTGGAAAAGTCGATTGGATACAAATTGTAAAGAACATTAAATTGAAATGTTTATCTTTCATCCTTAAAGCAGTAAATACCTACTGAAAACTTTTGGGCAGGGGAATGACCATGGTCAGACCTTTGCTTTTAGGAAGGTTATTTTTTAACTATGTAGCAGAGAGATTGCAGGAAAAGAGACAGTTCAACCAACAAACAATTATTAATCACTTAGAGTAAACAATTATAGTAAAGCATTTATTAAGCTCCTTTGGTATACCAGAACTGTGCTAAGCTCTGGCAAAACAAATACAAGCAAAAAGAAAAACAATTCCTGTCCTCAAGGAGCTTATATTCCTATGGGTTTAGACAACATATAAAAGGAAGCTGAATGTGTGTTTGTGTGCCTGTCCGTCTGTATCAGGTGCAGGGTGCAGGGACCTAGAGAAGTCTTGAGCAGCGATTTGACAAATGAAGAGCTAGCTGGCCTGGGAGTCTTCCTCAAAAGGAGATTCTTGGAGCCATCCAATCAAACGGAGAGGCCCTTGGTGGGAGGGTACTGCCAAGGGTGAATTCCAGGGCTGGAATGATCATATAGGATGAAGAAGTTTCTGAGGGATAGTAGAAAAGGCTGGAATGAAGCCTCTGCTAGAGGCTAGAGATCCAGACAAAGCAAGACAATCCCTGCCCTCCTGGAGCTTGAATTTCAATGGGAGAGAAAACATGCACATGTATAGACGTATATAAAACAGATACAAGGTGACCTAGGACAGATGAGGTGAGGGGGGCTCAGGAAAGACCTTATGGAGAAGGTGGTCCTTGAGTGGAGTGGAACATGAGTTTCCTATCACATTCAGATGATTTTAAAATCTGGCTGTAGTCTATCAATTAGTCAGTCTACAAGCACTTATTAAGTGCTTACTGTGTGCCAGGCTAAGTGCTGAAGACACAAAGACAAAAAGGAAACAGTCTCTGCCTACAAGGAATATACATTTAAAATAAATACAAATATATACAAAATAAATACATTATTGGTGGATTTCAGGAGATTATTAGTTGACCAACGAGATTTTCTGCCTATATCTTGGTGAAGTGTCTACGTACTTAAGAAGCATCAAACACTCAGTTCACGCTTTAACCTGTGGGCCACAACACTCCTGAGCATAGCTCAAAACCAGATAAAAATGCACTTTCTATCTGATTTTAGTGTGTTGATGTATTAAAAATGCCACCACCAACAAAAGCTAAATGATCCAATGGATAGAACACCAGGCCTGGAGTTAGGAAGACCTGAGTTCAAGTTCAGTCTGAAACACTTACTAGCTGTGTGAAACTGGGCAAGTCACTTAACTTGTATTTGCCTCAGTATCCTCATCTATAAAATGGGGATAATAATAGCACCTCCCTCCCAATGTTATTATGAGGATCAAATGAGATAATATTTGTAAAATGCTTGTTGTCTCAAACTGAGACCTGGCAAAGGTCTTAGCTTAAAAAGGACAAGGTCTCCCACTGCATCTGGGGCCATCTCCAGTTGTTCTATCTATATCTTGATATTAGATCCAGTTGGCTCTGGAGGAGAGAGTGAGGCTGGTGACCTTGAACAGCCCTGCGTCACTGAAATCCAATTCACTTGCAAGTCATGACATCACTTTCCTGATGTCACTGGTCCTCTGAGAATGAAGGACAAACAACATTGTGAGAATCAATGAGAAAATAACTGAAAAGTGTTTAGCACAGTGCTTAGCACATAGTAAGCATTATAGAAATGGTAGGTGTGTTTTTCTAAGTCAATATGTAGAACACAGGGATCTGTATGTATGGTTTAGTGGCCCTCCCCCCCTAATTTTTATTTTAATTTGATTCCACTGGTCTACTCTGTTCCTGTCATGGTATTTTAGGTCAGAACACTCAGAGCAGGGATTCTTGGTGCTCTCTCTCTTTCTCTCTCTCTCTTTCAGTGTGTGTGTGTGTGTGTGTGTGTGATGGATCCCTCTGGCTGTCTGGTGAAACCTACTGTCCACTTCTCAAAAGAAAGTTTTTAAATGCATAAATAAATACATAGGACTACGAAGGAAAGCAATTATCCTGAAACAAAGGTGCATTTTTTTCCTATGCAAGTTCAGAGATCCCTTGAATTCTATCCACAGACACTTTGGGAGTCTGTGAACCACAGGTTAAGAAACCTTGACTAGGGTTGGCCCTCTTTCCAGCAGGGTTAAGCAGACATTTTCAAGTTGCTTTCCTTGGTTCCTGCCTTCCTCTTACTGCCCAACCCTGATGTCCCCATCATGAACAATATTTTTTCTATTTTCTAACTCACAGAACCCTCTCATCTCATGGAACAGAAAAACTGATTAAAAATGTTTAAGAAAGTGATGGATAATCAATACTTGTATTTTTTCAGTGATTGTTTATTTTGGAGTTCTTTTTTTTGGTTAGAAGCAGTTCAATTATGTTGTTTTTAAAAACGTTAACAGCCTCAAACAAAAAATGACATTCAAAATGCATTAAGTTGGTTAGAGGTCATAAACCTTATTGACTGTTAGGAGTTACGATCCCCTTTCACTGAGCTGAAGATGTTTCATAATGTTTTTTACAGCCTTTGGCTCAATTCTATTGAATTAAAAAGGGAAAAAAATGTTCCTGGGATACTAGGAAAGCCAAAGGCTCAGTGAATCATAAAATGTACCTCCTTCTCATGTGCCTCTTTGTCATGACAGATGATCTGGTCATCTGTGAAGCTGTAGCTCATAGCCACACATTTGGTTCTCTGGGCCATGGAGACTTTCCCATCAAATGACTCATTCGTTACAATATAGTGAACCAATTTATTGTTTCCTTTCCTTCTATCATCCCCAATCACATTTCAGTGAATGCTAATGTTTTCGTGTCACTCTGGAGCTGTATGAGTTAAATTGTAAAAATTTGAGATTTTAAATGCAGTTATCTTGACAAGGAATTAAGAATTCAATTGACCTTTGGGTGTAACGCAATTTTCAAGAAATCATCAAATAAAGATTTTACATAATTTGGTACTACTTTGGAGGTGGAGGGTAGGGAGATCCTTCTTTTTAATAATGAAGGTCAGTTCAAGCTTGGCCCCAAGGAAGAGATGAGAGAAACTGATCTGTCTTCATTATTTGTAGAGGAGGGGGGCCATGGGCATGGAACATTGCCTCTACCTGCCAATTCAGTTGATAGGCTGGTTACTTTTGCTGAACCATTTTTTTCTCCATCCTTCATTCTTTTTAAAAATTCTATGCTATGTAAAGAATGGACTCTCTAGGTAGGGAAGGACAGGGGCAAAATGAAAGTTTGGAAATGAAGGTGATATTAAAGAAAAATCAACAAGTATTTTTTTTTCAAAAAAGGTCTTTCCCACTGTTAACTCTGGTAGTGAAATAGGAATAAAACAATCTTGTAATTCTTTGTTTTTTTTTCTTTATTTTCAGGGTCAGCCAGGTCCACAGGTAAGAGAGCTCCCTCATAAGGAATTGATTCCAATGTAGGGTTCCTCAAAGTTGAAATTTTCTACACTTCTTTTCAACTGATATATTAAAAATAGCTATTTACTGGCAATCATTACACAACATGGTAGAACAAATATTTCCTAGGAGGGTAGCCTGGGGCCCCTCTCAGCCCTTTCAGTTACATCAGCTGTCTGACCAGATGGTGAGTTTAACAATGTACAACCAAATAAAGAAGGACTCTTAACTGGTTTGAAACATTGCCACGGAACTTGAAAGTGAGACAGAAGAACTTAGCAAACATGGAGCATGAGCTGGTTTGCATTAGCTATTTATTAATCACGTGCTAATAATCTTGTTGTAAATCTGTGCAGACCAAGGACTTCAAATCCATTCCTACTAGCTACTTTTGGTTAATTATACACAGGAACTGAATTGTTTTCTATAGTTTCAGTATGTTTCTACTGCTGAAGATAGGAATTATGGAAAGAAATGTGAATTCAAGAAACAGATTGAGAAAATTTAGCATATCAGAGGAATGTGTGTAAATGGGGAAAAACAAAAACAAAAAGAGGCTAATACAAAGCCTGGTACAAATTTTAAAATATTAGGAATTAGTAGGAAATAGTGATGAATATAAATTATCTTGTAACATAATACTATGAAACGATACACATAATTATTGGGCTTGAGGCAACGTGGCATAATCCAACCTTGACTTCAGGAAGATGTGGGTTCCTGTCCTATCTCTGACACATACCAACTGAGTGGCCTTTGAGCAACCCATGTAACTCATTATTTCCTACCCCAAACTCACTCTTTTTCCTAACTCCATGATTTCTGTTGAAGTCCCTGCCATACATCCAGTTTCCTAGATTCACAGTGTGAGATACTGGTCTACACTCTTCTCTCTTTCTCTCACCCCTCATATCCAGTCAGGTGCTAAGTCTTTATTAATTAGACCACCTTAATATCTCTCTCATCTGTCACCTTCTCTCCACTAACATGGTCACTATCCTTGTAAGAATCTTCATCACCTCTTACAACAGTCTCCCTAGCTTCAGACTCTCTATCTAATGCCATATGCCACATAGCTGCCAAGTTGGTAATCCTCAAGCATAGGCTCCCCCTTGCTCAAAATCGCCAATGACTCTTTCCTGCCTCCAGAATAAAATAAAAAATTCCCAAATGGATTAAAAAAGTCTTTTTGTCTGGACCATGGTAGGCAATTGAATGGATAACTTACCGAGCTGGTCCAACAGTAGGTAGATTTTGGATAGTCGCTATAGATTGACATTGAACTTGGTCTAGGGGTGAGGGGGTGGGATGAAAGTAGGCTGAATTGCTTACTTTGCCTATGGATAGAGCACTGGGTCTGGAGTCAGGTGGACCTGAGTTCAAATCCAGCCTCAGATACTTGACACTTACTAGCTATGTGACCCTGGGCAAGTCTTTTAACCCCATTGCCTAGCCCCCCCCCAAAAAATAAAAACTCATTTTAAATACCATTATTCTATATGACTGCAAATCAGTAAATAGCATAATCTCTAAAGAATCAAGATTACAGGTGACCTATTGGGCAGTGGAGAGAAAGATGAAGAGTGTAAATCAATTATAGCCTGTCACTAAGGATGATTTGGATGAAAAGGTGGTATAATAAAAGATGCTGTGCAAGACATTATGTGAATGGAAAAGAAAGGAGCATGTGTTAAACTGGACAACTTAAGTACTATGCTGGTACCTTCAGCATGTTATAAGACCAACACCTCCAGAATATTGAGTGGACCTTCAATAGAGGTTTTAAGTAAGGAAAGGGGAAAGAGCCATATGGGATAAAGAAGTATGAATGGGTCACAATCTGTACCATTAGAAGGTGTGCCCACATTGAAATCACAGCTCCATCAAATGACTGGTGTTTTTTTTAGCATGGCCTAAAGTCTCACAGGAAAATGTTACATAGTCTACGTCAACTCTATACCTCTATATATTTTCTTTTCCAAGTTAAGCTGCTTTTCTTAGTTCTCTTCAGTTGTTAAGAAAAAATGTGATGAATTTAAATAATAGGCTTGTTGACTCAAAAGAACTCACCTTTATAAAATGAACACATAGTAAGTTCCCTGGTTAGTCAGTGTATAAATCAGTGCATACAACTGAACTAATTTATACCACTACATAATATCTTGCATTAACACTTTACCTTAAGTCAACTTTTCTGGATAAAATTCATCAAAAGTATGTATTACATTTGATTAATGCATGTACATTTATAAGGCTTAGCTACAGCGATCGAAAAATTCCACCTCTATTTAAAAGTGAAACGTGGATATTTTTACATTTTATAGGGTTTTTAAACTGTTGAAATGTTTCTGTTATTTGATCAGGTTTCATTTAAAATTTCCTTTTTCTTTTGTTTGCTTCAATAAAAAATGATCTCAGTAATATATACTATGAACACTTTCCCCAAAAGTTTCCCAATGCATAAAATTTACAGGCAGTGTTGACTCCAAATCTAAAGTGAGTTTATTTTTGTTCCATAAGCAGTAGGCCTACTTCTTTTTTTTTTAAGGAAGAATTTTTGAAGCTCCCTATTTTTATAAAACTCTCATACTTAGGCTTTTAATAAGTTATTGAGTTTCAGGTTATTTGAGATTTCCTTGTCTGTTTCCTCAGTTCTCAGAAGTTTCCAACTTATTTATATGTAAGATAAATACTTCTTTTTCATTGGTCTTCTTCTCCACATCTCACCCCACTCCCTCACCAGGTATATGAAACCAAGAGAAGAAAGGAGAATATATGTCATTTGTGTGATATATGTATATATAATATATATAAACACACATATTTACATATACATACACAAATGTTTGTGTGTAACTATGTTCTTGGCATTCCAAGTTGGAATTATTTTTTCCATGGCAATCATTTTTAGGAATGATGGTTAGGTTTTATATGACTCAACCATATGACTCACACAATAGGAGACAGTTTGGTATAGTGGAAAAAGCTTGGCATTTGAAGACAGAGGACCCGGCTTTAAATTTCAGTTCTACTACTTAATGCCTACGTGATCTTAGCCAAATAATTTCCCCCTATTTGGCCTTGATTTCCTCATTTGTTAGATTAGGGGACTGGACTATATAATCTCCAAAGTTGCTTTTAACTTTAAGTCTATAATCCTGTATTTGCACAAAGGATCTAATTTTATCAACGTGAGGAGCTCTCTCCATCAATATTGACCTGGTGGATTTTGTCTTTGGGAGTTGATCGGGACATTGAGATTAGCATTGAGATTAGGTAAGTGTGCATAGTAAGTGGGAGGGGAGAGATTTTAACATAGGAGTTTCTAACTCCCAGCCCCATCACTCTATCCATTATATTTCAATGTGCTTCTCCTTTAAATATAGTACCAAGTTCAATGTCAGTCTGTTGTTGTTCAATGTCCAACTCTTCATGATGCCATTTGGGGTTTTCTTGGGAAAGATACTAAGGTTCAAAAGATACTGAGTTCAAATTCAGCCTCAGATACTAACTATGTGACCCTAAGCAAGTTGCTTAACCCTGATTGCCTCCCAAACATGGTTTGCCATTTCCTTTTCCAGCTCATTTACAGGTGGAGGAACCAAACAGCGTTAAGTGACTTGCCCGTGGTCATACACCTAGTAAATGTCTGATGCCACATTTGAACTCAGATCTTCCTGTCTCCAGGCCTACTGTTCTGTCCACTGCACCACCTAGTTGCCCATCAATCTGTAGTGACTATCCAAAATCTACCTATTATTGGACCAGCTTAGTAGGCTATCCATAGAATTACTTACTATAATACTTTAACCTTGTGGTTAATTAGTGTTTTGTAGGCTGCCTATACAGGCTAGTGGTTTTTAGTGTGGCCTAAAATCTCACAAGTTATAGGAAAATGTCACAATTCTTATCAACTCTGTACTGTGATAATTTTTTTCTTTTCCAAGTTAAATTGACTTTCCTGGTTCTCTTCAGTTGTAAAAGAAAAGAAAAAGAAAAAAAAAGGCGATGAATTTAAATAATGAGCTTCCTGACTCAAAAGAACTCCCTTAGAAGTTCTCCTTAGAACTTCTTAGAACTTAGAACTTAGAACTCTTTAGAAAATTTCCTGATTAGTCAATGTGTAAATCAATGTATGCTACCAAACTAAATTAAATAGTAATTTTGGGAGGGAACTCAACCATAGTTTGTATTATTGACTCTTTGGGAAAATTTATTCCAAGTTCTCCAAGATTGATCCTACAAGCCAACTTTTATCTGTATATTTAACCAGCTGTCCAGTTAATTTGATAGGTATTTACTATCCAAGCAGAGACTTCATTTACATTTGACTTTTGGTTTGCTTTTTGACGTAAAAAGAAAAATGTCTCATTTATATCTGCCTCCCACCATAGATTAGTGCATAAATTCAGGGAGAATTTATATGGAGGAATACAAACTTGCTTTTATACAAAATTCCTTTGTAGGTACAAAACTAAAAGATTGGTTTTTACTAAGTAAAATAAGGTCCATGCAATGGAATTTGCATTCAATGCTTTTATTCCCTTATACTTTTGTAATGGATACGTGATTCAAATGCTTAAAAGAGACCTAGGAATGGTTTCAGAAGAAATCTAGGGCTACCATGATGAAGGAACAAAATAGTTTGAATACATGTGTCTTTGTGGGACTTCATCTACAGTATGAAACAAGGTTTTATCTTCAGCTTAAAAGCAGTTTAACCCACCCAATTTAGCAGTATAGCTGACCATGTCGTTCCTCTATTCAATAGATTCCAGTGGTTTCCTATAGCCTCTAGGATCAAATACAAAATACTCTGTTTGGCATTTAAAGCCCTTCATAACCTAGCCCCCTCCTACCTTTACTGGCTTCATACACACTATTCCCTGACTTCTAATCTACTTGTTGTTCCACAGATAAGACACTCTACCCCTTGGCTCTGGGAATTCTCGCTGGCTGTCCCCCATGTCTGGAATACTCTTCCT